AAGAGGCTCGAATGGTTACACTGACTAAGCCTATCGTTAGACATTCATTTTTTATTTTCTTTGGAAGACTCATTAATAGAGCATGATATTTGAAAGAGATGGATGTTATACATACAAATCACATAAATTGGCTCCATAAATTCATCAATTAACATAGTCCTACTCAAGAGTTTTGCATTAAAACCACAAATGCATCTTACAAGAGAAAATCGTACCCTCTATCCTGAATTTTACAACGTTACGACGTTTTTCGATCCGGCTTCCATGACTAGCCTATTTCCCGTTCTTGAAAACCCTAGGCTTTTGTTTGGTCATGTAAGATTAATTCATTCACTTCTTTATTATTTTAGTTTAATTGTTGATGAAATAAATTGAAATTGACGCTCTTGTATTATTGTAGATACTTGTACATGGAATCCTATCCTGAAGCAAATATGAAAATTCTCAATGCAAACAGTGTTAGGCATTTTCAATTCGACATAGAAGAATACAATTTCCCGTTTTAATTTCATACAGAAGCGTGTGCACACATAAACAAGTTGATTTGCTATACCCGAGTTTTTCGGTTTGATTTATAAGTATGATTTTGATTATTTGAATTTGTGAGAATAAATAGACAAAAATGGCTATAGGTGTTGACATACAAAAAAGAAGGCCCAATTGAAGGAGGCCCAATGGTCAACTGAGGTCCAATTATTAAGTCGGTCCAATTATGTTGTCCAAGAAATAGAGCTCAGTTAGGGAAATTACGGAATGAGTTCAAATAAGACCATTGTAAAATATAAGAACAGCCCACGAGCGGAGAACTATTATCGTCCAAGCTTGCAGAACACCAAGGATCTGAGCGAATGAACTATCTCAATGTTGCTCAGAGCGACGGTCTCACTCTAGCCCAAGCTTTCGAGACGCCCAAGGTCTGACGAAATATAGCATTTTGTTCAGTTATTGAAGCGATTATAGAGCAACCTTATCATGTCCCATGATCCAAGAATCTCAGTTACAAGCGGTTAAATAATAAGAGCACTAACAATAATTGCTAACGACAGTTCCTTGACAAGTCAGCCATCGCGAAAAAAAAAAGGATAGTTATAGAGCAATTTTCAAGCAGTTTTCCAATAGGAAATCAGCAAAGGAGGAAAAGAAAACATAGAAGAAAGGAACCCGAATCAAACACTAGCAACAGAAAATATATAATTTCAATTCATTTACTTTCTA